TGATGATCAAATGAGACATCAAGAGCGTCGTGTTCCCCCACCAGGATTTGTGAGTCACTTTATTTTACCTATTTCTAAAAATTTCCTTAAGGATCGTATGCGTGGCAGCAAATGTTTCTTGCTTTACCGATTTAGAACGATTGGTTAATCGTGACGAGAACCATGCATTACTCCTGGGGTTTTCTTAGTCGATCAAATTTGGGTACATGAAGAGAATTATATTCCGTTGTTAAGCAGCATCAATCTTGTTTCAGCTGATCTGATAATTTTTCCGCGATGTAAGGCGAGAAGCTTGACAGTTCTTTTTGATTTGAAGGGTTGCATTCAAGTTCAGTACATTTTGTGAATCGAACATCGGTATGCGTTCAATTTGAAGTCCTACTGAAATCAGCCTGTCTATCGGTCTGCTTGTCTACACCAAACTGTTTGATGTTTGCCTTTTCCTAATTTAATGTAATCGCTTGTATTTTTTTTTGCCATACCCTGAAATCTGTAGTTTATGGGGGGTGTTTTGTAGGAGAGATCGTCGCCAATTTTGTAACTTTACATTAGAGATTTTCGGGTGGATTCGCATTATGAAATTGGAATAGCTGTTAGATCGATGCATATTGTTTATTTAATGAGTGTTCGTTCCCTGTGTCCGTCAATTGGCAGTCATATGATTTTGCACAGCTTTAAGCCGCTGTCAGTAAGTCTGGCCATCTTACTGCTCGTAGACTATAGATAATCTGCTGCCCTGTTTAGCATATGAAACAAAGCTGTTGCATCATGTTGTAGTTCCAGGCTCATCCCCCTCCTCATCCACAGTTCATCCCTCAGGATGGTGGCGGCATTGGTGGTCCTCATCACCAATCCGGGCCTGGTGTATACGGTTAGTGAATCACAATATTTCTTTGAGAGATGAGAAGAATGTATTCGCTATTCATTTCTTATTTTGTTGGTATTTTCAGGGCAGTGCGATGGAAACTTTGATAAGGAAAAGGTTCGCTGTCTTTGTCAGAGCAATCATCCCTTCTAAGCTCCTCTTTAATTGCTTGTTTTCTACTAACAGTTGCAGCGTGCCTTTAGCAAAGTCGAGTTTAGGTGCCATATGATGGACCATCACCTTATCATCGAAGCAGCCGCTTTGAAACTGATCCTTCCGCAATGAGTGGGGATCCCATGATGTACAATCGGGTAAGAGTGATCCACTTTTTGAAAGCCTCTTATCTTTTAAAATGAGAATCATGGTCGTAACCTCTTGAACAATAAGATTATATCGTTTTTTTTTTTAAATTTGAAGTTACATTTCTCTTCTATAGCCTCTATTTGTCTTCAATATTCTTACTTTTTTAACCATTGTTTTAGGCACAACCCATGATGATCAATCAGAATCACCCACCTAGTGGACGTTATGAAGATTCTGGTGCTCCAAGAATGATGCCTCCACCTGTTAGTGGCCCAAATCCCTCTTCCGGGCTCAGCTATTCCCAGATATCGGGATATTACGGTCAGTTGTGGAAGCAGCTTATGGAGACATTGTGGACAATCTTTTGCTACGATGATCTGACCCTATTTTCATATTCGGAAATTGAATTTAACCTGAAGCCATAATTATCACCTCATTAGGTTCAGTGTGGTGATCGAGGTGCAGTCGACATATTGCTCTTCAGCTATTCTCATTTGGTTCTCAATAAGTGTTTCTAACAAGATTTCATCGAACATTGGTCTATATGTGTTTATATGAATATAAGTATATAAATATTAATAGGTATACTAAATAAATAAATAACTATATACATATAGACGTGCATATATATATATATATATATATATATATATATATATATATATATATA